AACTAGCTTTACTTTGTTGCCTGGGTCAACTTTGCTAGCGAGAGACAGAGAGAGGCGTTGAAAGGCTGCTCCAACAGAACTTATTGTTTCGGAGGAAAACACGAACACGGTGTACTGTCGAGTCTTAATAGCTTACTTACAACTGGGCTGGTCAGGCACTCTTCTTGGCTGCTGTTATTGGCTGTTATTATTATATTTACATGCTTCCAGCTCCCGTTTTTGCTCGATGACAACTCTCCTTTTCCACTCCCCCTTTCTCCCTCCTCGCGCTCACAGACACATCACAGGTATAGCAGTCCATTCTGCCTGCAGCACGGACTACACTGCCCATGAGGCAACATTCTTTAGGGCGATGCCTGTAACACTCTGCCTATTGCCTTCATATTAAATAATTTTTTTGAAAAATAATTTTTAAAAATATTTCTTCACGTCAAGCGATGTGGCATCACAGCAAGTAGAGGTGACATGCCGAGTGAGATTGAGACACAGGCATTTGAGCCTCTTTAATGCATGTTTTGCTTGGGTTTCCAAAAATAGAGAGAGCATAGCCTAACATATGAAAAAGGAAAAGACCGCGCGTAATCCATTTAGTTCAACAAAGTAGCTGTATTCTGACTGCCACCTTTTAAAACGGTAACTGTAACGGGATACAGTTACCCATATTTTGTATTTTAAATACGTAACGGCGCTACATGTATTCTGTTACTACCCATATGAACTTAATTTTTGCTATCCTGGTTCCACAGCGGTTTTGTGCCATTTTAAAAATCTACACAATCAGACATTTCCATATGGGATTATGAACCACCATCGTCTTAGTGCACGGTTTGCTAATCATGTGAGAGCAGATGTATAACACCGCTGTTGATTTGTGAGTGTACATTCATATGTTTTTAGTGAAACATTACTAATAACGTTCGAGACACAATCAGTATTTTTTTAAAATGATGTTTGCTCATAAGACCTGATCATGTCTCGGTAAACCTATATATATATATATATATATAGACAACCCAGTGGCTTACATAAACATGTATGTCAGCATTCTGGTGATTTGTCACCTACCTTGAGCAATATGCTGATCTGTGTTGTCATCATTCTTCACTTTTTTCACTTCTTCACGATTTCTTTTGTCTTTCTTTTTTTTGGCTTTAACCGTGACGAATGTCCCACTTGTTCCCATCTTCTTGACTGTGATGACTGTCCCATTTCCTTTAGCCTCAGCTAAAGATGGTATCTCCACAGTCACCTTGCAGATGTACGTCCCTGAATCCACTGTTCTAACATTTGAGATATTCAAAGATGAACATTTCTTCTCTTCCTTTTTCAGAGACGCATTAGGCTGATTAAAGTAGTCACTCCTAATTTCTGTTTGATTTTTAAGCCAGTACACTCTAAATCTTTCAAACTTCCCTGTCCAGCAGCAGGTGATGCTGACTGTCTTGCCCTCCATGACAGAAACATCAGGACTCTGGGTCACAACAAATGTGCCTGATGAAACACCTGTAAGAGACAAAGTGGAACATAATATTGTAAGTTATTAAAAAAATAATATAAAGTAATGATTGCACATTGGAAATAAAGATGACATGACAATAATTTTTGTCAAGGGCAGCGGATGAAGACTGTGTGGAGTTGAGACCTAAATCCAGACAAAACAAATCATGGAAACAAACTTAATATTAACTGAAAGTGAGCCGTTCATTATGGCTGATGGAGAAATACAAAGCAATGCACAAGGTAACCAAGCTGAGAATAAACAATAACCTAAACTGGGAAAACTAAAAATAAACATGAAAAACCCTAAACGTGAAGCTGGATACATGGACACCAGGAACATGGAGACATGGTGCAGAAGACACCAGACGACTTGACAATGAACAAAAGGAAGACAGAATACTTAAATACACAGAAGAGTACTGAGGGAAGTGGAAACACCTGGCAAACACAGCTGACACAAATGAGCATGATCCCACAGGGGAGGCAAAACTGAACACATGGAACACCAGACTGTCAAAATAACATAGGAAACATAATGAGACGTAGACATGACAACACGAGCTTGACAATATGACATGGAAAGCGCAGACATGAAACACATAACAGACTGGGGAGACCGAATGATACACAAGGAGAGGAACACGGAAAGAGATAAGGGGAACGAGGCACAGGCATAACTAAAAATCATGCATAGAGGACAAGAGACAGAAAACGACACATAAACAAGGGAGCATGGATGAAACTTTAACTAAACAAAACCTAACTGACATACTTATAGTAACACTAGAACTTAGCGTTACGGTAATACATCATAAGAAACATACAAAATCAACTCAAAATGCTGGGTCACAGACCCTATCGTTTTTTTACATCCATCGTTTCAAAAACCTTGAATCAATATAACTTCTTCATTCAAAGTCGAAGTCAGAAATCTATTCGCTCTCCTTTTAACTGTTGTTTGATGTCCATAAGTTGGTTAATGTGGTTCACTATATGTTCAGTCACTTAACACTTCCCTCATGTGAACTCAGCTAAACTTCACTCAGTTTCCTGCTCAGAACTAGCCATGCAATGTAAATTTGTCATGAAAATGAAAGTGATGGGCTTAAAAATGCATAAAAGCACTTACATTCAACTATGTCTATATTTCGCTATTTTCATTAAGCTTTATGTTTAAGCAGGTCCCCCTTTTTTTTTTTATCTCGTCCAGTTCCTGTGCATTATAAGTAGGATGATTGAAGGATGCTAAAAATTAATTCTGTATAATCTGAGTACTTTTAGAAACTTTAGTTTTCAAGTTATGTGAGAATTCCATGAAAGCTTAGTATCCATTAGATTTTGATTATGCCCAGAAATCTAGCTTTGGTTTATTTTTTTATTTATTTTCTCAAGTTAATTTAAAAATGTTAAAGTTTTTAAAGTTTGCATCTTTAGAATCACACATAACCCTACATTAATATTGATGTTTTTACTCACACCAAGATGAGAGGGCATGGAGGAACAAAAGTAGCAGACGGCCCTGCAGAAGACTCATCCTCGTACAATTCACCGTTGAATACTGATACT